GCAGCCAGTGTGAGCGGACCATAGAGAAAGGCAGGCTCAGAGGAGTCGTATTCGCTCCTCAGAGAGTCAGGCCAGCTCTGTGCTTCCTGAAGGCCAAGCAGCAACTGGTCTGGAGGCGATCGAGACCTGCACCAGGGACCGAAGGGAGACCAACCCCATCCCTTATCCGTCTCTTCATCAGGTCCGCCTCATGCTAGCCAAGGATCACACCTTGGGCTGCCCTGCAGTCGGGGGTGCCCCGGACCCCAGGAGCTCACCTGTTTGTTATGGTGCATGATGCCGAGAGTGGGGAACACCCAGGTACTGGCCGGAGGAACAATGTCACTGTCAGCAAAGCTCACCCACTGGATCACCTGGGCAGCTGCCTCGGGAGTAGCGCCTCGAAGGTCATCATTGCTCACTACACGAGGGAGGAAAGGAGGGGTGCATCCTCTGAGGACCAGGCCTGAAGGGTTCCCACCATCCCAAGAACAGCCCCTCCAGCAGCCCTCAAACAGCCCCCCACAATTACCATAGTGTGCAATGGCATTGCTTTCAAACACACAGAACCCATCATCACCCTCAAACGCTGGAACCTGGGGGTGAAAGCAGACCATATGAACCCGTTACAAGCAGCCTGAGGACAAGGCCAGTGTTCTCTGCTTGTCCTTCCCACAGGGTCTAGCACAGTGCTAAGTCAGCAATAGGGGTTCAGACCCATTTCTCCCACCCATAGAACCTAGAACGGGAAGGGGGCACAGTGGCCTGGGAGGAGGAAACCATACTGGGCCCCCCCTCCCCCCGCCCAAGATCTAGCTCCAAGGTAACAGGAAGCCTGGAGAACTCAGACTCTGAAAATACCTACTCACCTTGCCCGCAGGAAACTTTCGGAGGAATTCGGGGGTGCGGTTGGTCTGACCAAAGTGGAAGTGGGGAGGTGCGGACAGCACGCGGACCTGGGCCCCACTGTACTGTGCAGCAATGAGGGCCTTGAAGGCCCGCCAGTTTTCAGGGTATGTGTACAGGGTCTGTGGAGATGGCATAAAGAAAATGAAAGGGAGCCCCAACACTAGGCAGCCTCAGAGCCCCCAACACTCCTTTCTCCCTACTAGATTCCTTGGCCTCAAATGCTATTGCTTCAGGCAGTGACCTCCCCGATGTGGAGAGTGTTAAGAGACGGCCACCCCTCAGTGACTTGAAGCCCCCAGAAAAGGGATCTCTCCAGGGCTTCCAACCCATCCCCCTCACGGCTCTGGTCAAGCTCTGAGCCTCAGTTTCCTCACGTGGAAAACAGTGATTACAACTGTCTGACTCACAGAAGCCTCACAGCAGGAGGAAATCGCAAGCCCCGTGGGAACCCGAACAGAGGTCCTGACCCCAATCAGCCAATGAACAAGGACTAATGGGGGATTACCAGGCAGGGCCCAGGACAGGGACGCCCCCCACCCCCAGCTCTGGGAAGGGAAAGGCAGTCGCTGGTGTTCATCCCCCTGTCCCCAGGCCAAGGCCCGGCATGCCAGAGGCTGAATCAGCGTTGGCTCAGCCCCCCCCTCCCCCGAAAGCCTGATGTCGGAACCCGGAGAGGCCCGCCCCTGCCTCCCCCCCACTCCTGGGCTGGACCTCCAGAGCACTCAGAGCCCCGTTCCCCCTGGCGGCCTGCAGCACCAACCTGGCCCCTTTAATTACCCCCCCCCGGGGAGAGGGGACCAAAGCACTGACAGCCTGCCCCCCTGCCCTTAGCCCCGCAACCCCTAATATCACCCCCCCCAGTCCCCCAGGCCTCCAGCCATCCCCCCCGCGCCCGGCCCTCACGCCCTGCCCCGGCTCTTGCCCCCGCTAGCCCCCAGCCGTCACCTCTCGGCCCCGGCCCGGCTCCCCCGGCCCCCCAGACCGCTCTGGGACGCCAAGCCTCCGACGCCGGGCCCTTCAGAAAGGCAGGGAGTCGGGAGGCCGGCCGGCGAGCGGCGGGGCTGGGAGGCGGGCAGGCGCGGGGATCTCCAAGCGCTCTCGAGCCGGAGCAGGCCCGGGCACCCGGCTCCGGGGCGGCGCCTCAGTTTCTCTCCCCGCCGCCGCCTCGGGGCCCGCGCGGCCGCCCCGGCTTGGGCCGGGCCCCCACACGCTGCGGGCCCCCCCGAGAGGCGGGCGGCGGCGGGGGAGACAGAGGATGGCGGCGGATGCGCCCCCCGGGGCCCGGGGCCGCCGAACTCACCCCGGCCGCCATGGTGATTCCGCAGAGAAAGGGGGCGGGGACGTCGGCGCTGCCGCAAAGTGAGACCGGCCGGGGGGGGGGCCGGGAGGGGGAGGAGGAGGAGGAGGAGGAGGAGGAGGAGGAGGAGGAGGAAGGGAGGGAGGGAGGGAGGGACGGGCGGGTGGGAGGGGAGAGCGGCCGGAAAGCGAGGAAGGCGTCGAACGGAGCCGCGCGACAGGAGGACGAGCCCTTCCCGCACCGGCCGAAGTCGCGAAGCGGCGCGCGCCTGCGCACAGGACGCCGCCGAAGGCTCGCCGCGAGGGCGGTCGGTTAGCTTCGGAGCACCTCGGAGTCTCCTCTCCCGGCCCGCCCCGCGGAGAAGTTGCGGGGCCGGAGCCCGAGCGACGCTGAGCTGGCGAGCTGCCCGAGACGCTGCCCAGGCGCGCACCCGCCCGCCCCCTAGCGCGTCCCCGTGAGAGCGCTCCTACTTGCAAGGCGGGGAACCTGGGCTGGCCTGCCGTATCACTTCATCCCGCGGCTGGGGAAACTGAGGCTGGGCGGGGAGAAGTGATTCGCTAAGGGTCACTAAGGATCTCAGGACGGCAAAGATGAGATTCAAACCCAAACCCCCTGACTCCAGGACCAGGTCACTGAACCAGGGAAACTGAGGCATGGGGGGCGGGGAGAGATGACTTGTTACTAAGTACCCACTAGGGGGCGCCAGAGTGGGATCAAGTAGACACCAGTTCAAATCCAACCTCATACTGTAGTTTTTGAAACATTTTTTCTTTCATTAAATATTTCCTAATTACACGTAAAAAAGTTTTAACATTCATTTTTTAAAATTTAGTTCCAAATTCTCACTCCTCTCCCACCCCTTAAGAAGACAATCACCATATCAGTTATATATGTGAAGTCAGGCAGAACATTTCCATATTAGCTAAGTTGCAAAAGAAAACATACACAGAAAAAAAAAAAGAAAAATTAAGAAAGTTTGAAACAGGCAGCTTCGATCTGCGTTCAGAATTTATCTGTTCTCTCTGGAAGTGGATAGCATTTCTCATCATGGAACCCTCTGAACTGTCTTGGCTCATTGCATTGCTGAGAATAGCTGTCATTAACAATTACCACCTCACGATGTGGCTGTTACTGTGTACAATGTTCTCCTGGTTCTGTTCATTTCGCTTTGCATCAGTTTATTTGTCTTCCCAGGTTTTTCTGAAACCTTCCCCCTTAACATTTCTTACAGCATAATAACATTCCATCGCAATTATATGCCACAACCTGTTCAGCCATTCCCCAAAGGATGGGCACCTGTCAATTTCCCATTCTTTGCCACCACAAAAAAAAGAGCTGCTATAAATATTTTTGTACACACGGGTCCCTTTCCCTTTTCTTTGACCTCTTTGGTATTCGGTCCTAGCCGTGGTAGTGTTGAGTCAAAAGGTATGCAGAATTTTATAGCCCTTTGGATATAGTTCCAAATTGTCCTCCAGAAAGGCTGGACCAGCTCCACTAACATGGCATTAACATCCGTTTTTCCACATCACTTCCAGCACTTGTCATTTGCCTTTTCTCTCATGTTAGTCAGTCTGATAGGTGTGAGATAGTAGTTCAGATTTGTTTTCATTTGCATGTCTCTAATCAGTAGTGATTTAGAGCACTTTTTCACATGACTATGGATAGCTTTGATTTCTTCTAAAAACTGCTGGTTCATATCCTTCGACCATTTATCAATTGGGGAATGCCTCTTATGTGTGTAAATTTGGCTAAGTTCCATATATGTTTGAGAAATGAAGCCTTTTATCAGACAACCTTACTGTGAATTTTTCCATTTTCTGTTTCCTTTTGAATTTTGGCTAATCCATTAGTTTTGTTTATGCAAAACCTTTTCAATTTCATGTAATCAAAATCATCATTTTAATTCACACGATACTATCACTGGTTTGGTCATAAACTCCTTTATCCATACATCTGGCAAGCACATTTTTCCATGTTCCCCTAATTTACTTTTATTGCCCTTTATGTCTAAATCATTTCTTCCTTTCTGGCCTTATCATGGTATACAGTGTGAGATACTGGTCCATGCCTAGTTTCTGCCAAAACTCTTTTCCAGATTTCCCAGCAGTTTTTGTCAAATGGCAGGTGCTTGCCCCAAAAGCTTGGATCTTTGGATTTATCAAACACCAGATTACTAGTCACTTACTACTGTCTCGTAAGTAATTAATCTATTCCATTGCTCGTCCACAACTCTATTTCTTAGCCAGTGCCAGATTTATTACCATTTCATAATATAGTTTGAAATCTAATAGTAGTAGGCTGCCTTCACATTTTTTTCCCATTCCCTTGATATTCTTGACCTTCTATTTTTTTTTAGGTCTATAAAATAACTCTTATAATATAGTCAAGTATGCTGAGAGTTTTCCTAATACTGAACCAGCCCTGCCCTTCCTGCTATAAATCCCAACTGGTCATAGCTGATGATCTTTATGATATATTGTTGTGATCTCCTAGCTAATTTTTTGCATCCATGTTAAGGAAATTGGTTGATAGCTTTATCAGCACTCTATGGTTTCAGTAGAATCTTTTTAAGTGAATAAAATGCCTATTATGAAAGAAACCTTGCACATAAGTAAAAATAAAGATGTAACTTTTTTTCCCCCATCCAAGGTTACATCCCTCCATGAAATGTATCCACAGAACCCCAGCTAAAAATTCCTGGCTCAGACCCAAAGCTAACAGTTTGCTAAGTTAAAACGGACATTTGGCATTTAAAATCCTTCACAACCTGGCCTCAGGGCAGTGCCCCAAAGATAGGACCCCAAGTCAAAGCTCATGTAAAAGCACTTTATTGGCCCCTCCTCTCTTCAGTCACCTTTCTCACACTCTAGTATGCCCCGAACAGTTCGAGGTAGAAAGCCACGTAGGAAATGATGGAGATCAGAGAACAGGTTCTGAGGATCCCGGAGCTGGGTGAGAGTGAGAAACTGGCTGGTGGGGCTGGTGGAAGCAGTGAAGATGAGGAGAGGCTGTGGCAGCCGCAGCAGCTCTGACTCCTCTCTCTGCCTCCTGTTTTCCTGTGCTATCAGCTCCTGGGTCACACGAGCCTCTGCTTGCAGCCAGCTCATTTCCCCTCTGGCTTGCTGCTGCAACTGCCTCCGAACCCTCCGCCGCCCGAGCCATACCCGGTGCCGGAGCGTACAGAGCCAAGTCTGTGTCGTCCCTGGCCCTGTCTCCTTCTCCCCCAGGGCTGCTGCCACCTCTTCAGTCCCTGGGTCTTCTAGCTGCTTTCTTTCTCTTTCAACCACATGCCGCCCAGGGTCCCCTGTGGCCGGTTGGCCCTTCTCTTCCGCCCCAGCCTCTCCGTGGTGCCCCTCCGCTGCTCGCTGCTCCTCCTTCTGCCCTTCCTCCCTCTCTAATCGTAGCCTTTTGCTCGGTCCTCCCTGGGGACACTCTTCCCCACCTCCCTCTCCTTCTGGCCTCCTTCTCTTGCCATCCTGCTCTACCTGGCACCCCAGTGCTTCCTCTAACACCCGGGTGATGGCAGCACAGAGCTGAGTGAAGGGGGCCGGGGGCAGGGGGATGGGAGTAACAGACAGCAGGGAGCTGGCAAAGCTGGGCTGCAGGAGAGGAAGCAAGCCCCAGTCCCGGCCTCGGGGAGAACGACGCTGGAACTGAAGGCTTCGGCAGTAATTAGCCGACTCCCGACAACAGTTCTGCAGGCGGCCGGCTACCCGGCCTGTCACATTGGCTGCCACGTTGTGACTTAGGTCAAAAGGGTCCTGGAGATTCAGAGGGCCGAGGCGTAAGCTCCCCCAGAGACCAGGGGGCAGGCCCTCGGCTACGGGCAATGGCTGGCCTTCCCTCAGAGACAGCAGCAAGCTGCGGAGCTCCCAGGTGGACACACAGGAAAAGAACTGGGCCAGGAGGGCGGCTGTAGGGAGGCCAAATTGAAGCCCCTTGAGCTGTTCACTAGATCCATCCAGGAGATGGGATTCCCCCGCCCTCCTGGCCCCTGGTCTGGCTCCCAGGAGCACAAGGGCCCTGCGCTCCCCGCCTCAGCCCAGTCCCAAACAAAGCCCAGGCTCCTTCCTTCCTCCTCGGACGGTCTCCAGGCACTTACCCAGGGGCTCAGTGTTGCTGCTGGGCTCTAGGCGGGAGGCCTCCTGGGGGAAGCTACAGTCCCAGCCATCCACCTCCACACGGTCCTCCTTACCTGAGGAGAGGAGAGAGGAAACATGGAAAAGAGGCCAGGAGACAGAGATCTCACCAAAATCTCCCCAGAGAACTCACAGTCACTAAAGACAGGAGAAAGACAGTGATGTGGGCAGACACAGCAGGAGACAAAGACAAGGGCGAGGGCCACAGGAGCCTTTGGCCTGGGACGTCATACCTGCCATCTGGGTGAGCTTTGTGAGGGAAGGCAGCACCGGAGGGTCCCGGGTTTGAAGGAAGTAGATCACCAAGAGAGTCAACGCATAATTACTCAGAAGGGGGCCACTCCCTAGGCAGAAAACCGAAACTTAACCAGTAGCAGCGGAGAGCCTCCGAGGTCCCTCCTGGTCACTGCTCCCAGCCTGCTGCGTGTGGCCTCACCCCTCCAGGGAGGGTAGGAACCAGCTCACCTACACCACTCCTCCTCATGCCCACCTTCCTTACCTGTCAGTCCTCGTCCCTGAGCCCAACAGCGCAGGGTATAGACCAGGGGCCGTACCCGCCTGTCCAGGGCACAGCAGAGATTCAGGAACCGTGAATTGTATAATGCCAGCCTGGGATAAAGAGGAGACCAAGGAGATATGGCAGCAGGAGCCTAAACATCCTCCCAAGCCTAGGCCTCCACTCCACAGGTCAGGAGAACTCAACACGCCCCCTCCCATGTCTGCCTTGGCGGTCTCCCGTGCCCGTCGCAAACCTGGCCTCAACTCCCAGCTTCGTCTCTGCTTGCTGCCAGGCTCACCTTCCCCAGAAGAGATCGCCTCATCCCCCCACTTCCCTTCTCCAGTTACTTTCTGTTTCCTTCTCTATTCATGTTGTGTGTGTGACTACCCGGGGGCAGAAGCGAGCTTGTTCTGTGCCTGTACCCCCTGGACCCAGGACGCTGCCTGGAATGCAATTGATACTGAACCAACTGAAACAGGGTGGGAAGGCCAGAAGCGGGGCCGTGGGCAGCACTACGGGCACAGAACTTGCCCCAAAGGCCCAAAGCAGCGACAGGACAGGAAGGAGGAAACAAGGACCAGGGCGAAGGTCCAGAAGCTCCCTGACCCTCGACGGCCCCTCCTCATGCCAGGGAATTTCCCCCACATACCTGTTACCGAGGGAGACATCACCGTGAAGACCAGAGGGCCGATGACAGAATTTGACCACGGGGCGTCGAGCTGAGGGCACAGTCCTGACGCTGTGCACCCCAGGGACACAGCCTCGGAGGACAGACCCAACAAGTTCCAGCATGGCCTCTCCCTCCCCCGGCTCCCCCTTCAGGGCTCCAAGTTCCCAGGCCTTCCCCACGTCCCTTTCTCCCACCTCTTCCTGGATGGGTGACACTGGGGGCAGGGACTGTGGGGAGGCCAGGGCCGAGTCAGGGGTCGGAGGAGCTAGGGAGGAGGTGGGGGTTTCAGAGTCTGGGGGAGAAGCTGGGGCCTGAGGACCTACAGGGGACGCTGGACTGGAGGCCAAGGCTTGAAGATCCAGTGGAGAAGCAAGGGCTGAGTCCAGTCCTGGAGAGGCCGGGGTTTTAGGGTCCTGTGTGGGGGAGAGGCGAGTTGGGCCAGCGATCCCTCGGGGCTCCCTCCATCGCCCATCCTCCCGAGCTGCTCCGCCTCAGCACGGCACGGTCGTCTCCTCCCTAGCCTTCAAGAAGGAATCTACCCACCCTGTACCAATTGATTTCTCCCTTCTTTTTAAGGCAAAGCAGTACAAAGAAAAGCATGCTGGGCATAAAATCAGGAGAGAGCTGGGTTCAAATCCCACTATGAACATTTACTAGCTGAGTCATGCCAGGCAAGTTACTTAGATTTCTGGGCCTTGGTTTCCTCATCCAAACTGAGGTACCTAACCCATGGGACCATTAAAGGTCCACTGAGATCCATCCATAGACTGTTCCCTACAAGTCCGCTCTTCCTCTTCCCTGCCCATTGCACCTGGCTCTCTGACGTCTCACCTGTGGCCCCTCCAAATCCCCCAGATCCAGGAAGAGGTCAAGGTCACACCCGTGAACATCAAAGCCGTTTGTAGAGGAGCCAAAGGGACGGACGACACAGCCTGGGCGGCGAGCAGAGCGTCAAGATCAGGGGATGCTCAAAGAGACACCAGCCGTGCAACTGAGTGGGCAGGACAGGTGCTCACAACAGAGGGGCTGACTAGAGGCCTCGGCAATGCAGGGACCCGGGGCGCGGCTCGGGACAGGCAGCGAGGGATGGGCAAGCCTCACCAGGGAAGAACTCGGTGAAGACCTCCTGCAGCAGGGTCACGACAAGCCCCCGCAGCTGCCGCTCCGCCTCGGACAGCTCTCGAAGGCCAACCAGCTGCACCATCTGGGCCTCCACATCTGGAGCCTCTGCCAGCTCCCGCGTCAGCTGCTGGTCATCTGGCGGTGCCCCTTTGGATGACCTGGGAGCCGGGGCCTGGAATTCCTTCTGCTGCCGAGGCCTAACACGTAGCCGATGGCCGCTGAGAGCGTGCTGGGGCTGGGACAAGACGGCATCCCGGGCACCCACGTCCCCCATCTCGACAATAGCAAACACCCCCTGTCAGGCCACCACAGAGAAGAGTTCTCAGACACCCTTTTCCAATCACCGTGGCCCTCCTGTCCCTCCCTGTCTCCCTTTCCCCAGATCTTACTCCCTTCTCCATCAGACTGCTCACAAGGGCTCACCCAGGCCGGCCCCACTACCTTGTCCTTGTCCATGACGATGCTGGCCACGGGCCCAAAGGCCTGGAAGTACTCAGAGAGCTGGGCCGGATCCACACCACGGGGAAAGCCGCTGACAAACACACTCCGCAGGCCCTGGGCCCGGCGTGCAGCTCGGAGCTCTTCAAGGCGCCGGTGCTTCTTTCCCGCAAGGTGGGCATCCAGGCTGGGCCCTGCAAGATGTGTTCACTGAGCACACGCTACTTGCAAGGACACAACAACAGAACAATGACTGTCTCTGTCCTCAATGAGTTTTCAGTCTGCATAGTGGAGACACCAAACCAAACATGAAAACACAAACCACAATTTTGGCTGGGGGGAGCTCCAAAGGACCATGGAGGCCCCCTGCTCCTTTGACAGTTGAGGAAACTGAGGCCCAGAGAACCTAAGTGACTTGCAGAGGGAGGAACCAGGAGAGTCAGATTCAACCCAGGTCTTCCCCCTCCAACTAGAGTATCACCAGGGGAAATCACACCTGGGCTGAACCTGGAAGGTAAAGACAGGCCTCAGGAGTCTGGGGAGCCTGAGAAACAGAAAGTACACTAGGGGGCGCTCACCAGGTCAGAAGGAAAGCACGGTGGGAGCCAGGTGGGGCCAGATGGCAAATGCCCTCTCATGACGGGCAAAGGAAGTCAGGCTTGGTTTTAGATACAAAAAAAACTCACAGAAGGGTTTGAGCAGGGAAGTAACAGGCCCAGGAATGATTCTGGTGGAGTGCAACGGAAGACGGAGGAGGGAGAGGGGAGAATGTAGGCAGAGACAAGTCAGGAGGCAAAGACAAGAGTTCGGGCAGAAGGCCATATGAGCCTGGCTCCAAGATGGAAGAAAAGGGATGCAGAAGGGAGGTGACTGGGGTGGGAGGTGACAGCCCAGTGAAGAGGAGAATGAAAGCTTTCTACAGAAAAGAGAGAACTTGGGAGATGAGGCCAGTTGGGTCAGGAGAATCATGGGCTCCCCCCCAAACATGCTGAGATTGAAGAGGAGAAATCCAGGCAAAGGGTTCAGCCAGCATCGGAAGAGGAGGAAGAGGGGCAGAGGGGCAGCGGGACAGAGATCTGGAATACTCTACATAGAGATCAAACTATGGAAACAGAAAAAAGTCCCCAAGGAGGGCATGTAGAGAGAAGGGAAGAAGGGCCAGGGATGTGGCCAAGGAATACCAAAGCCCAGAGCACAGGGTGAGGAGCTGGAAAAAAACAGATTCACACCCGGCACCTGCACCACTAAGGTACCTCAGCAGTGACTGCAAAAAAAGCAATCTCCATGAAAACGGTCCTAGAGGAGAATCTGGAGATTGGGAGCATCTGTGTTACAGAGCGCTTAGAAATGTCAGCAAGGAACAGGGCTGAGAAAAAGCCACAGAGGAGCCTTGGGAGAACAAGCTCATGGACCAGTGGGCACAAGGCATGGAAAGTGAGGCAGCGACAGATATGGGAGCTGGGAAGGAAGAGAGAAAAGACCCCAAATGTCAGCTACGGATAAGCTGTCTTCGGGATGGGGAAAGGCCCGCTTCTACACGGCAGGGAAGGGAGAGACAGAAGGGGAGAGGAGATAGCAGAGGGGCCAAGGGCTTTGACAAGGAGAAGTCACAGCCCTAGAGGCCAGAGAAAAGAGGATCTGGAGGAAGGGAGCAAGAGACAGACGAGCTCAATCAGGACTAAGGACTCTGCCTGCAGCATCCAGACAAAATCACACGAATGGGGTATGCTCAGCTGACATGATTCTGTGGCTTCTTGGGCAAAGTTCAGGGGCTTAGAATCAGGAGCAGAGTGGGCCTAGGGCCGGAGGGAGCCAGGCTGAGGATAAGCAGGGAATGGACAGGACAAGAGGGCATCTTCATGGGTGGAAGACCGCGTTTTGTAAATTAAGTTTTATTTTAAGACAGGGAGAAAACAAGAAAAGCGAAATCCCTGTTATCGATAAAGTCAAATACCACAAATCGCACGTTGGTGATGCCCACGTGTGTGGACGTATGGGTAGACATACGAATTCACACGCGCATCTCTCATACGCCCACACTCCCTCTCTATCACGAGGTGGGCGGCAGGCTTCACTGGAGCCGGGATGGCAGTGACGTCAGTGTTCCAGCACACGCCCCCCCCCCCCCCCCGCCTCGACCACGGCCTGGGAGAGGCGGGGCAATGAGGGGGCCGGCCTGGGCCACCGGATGCCCCAGGGGCCGAAGCCCGGAGAGGGGCCACAGAACTCCCAACCCAGGCCGGCTCTGAGCCTCCGTTTGCGCCTCTGAAGTGAGGGCGGCTCGCCTGGCCGCTTGTAATGAGGACCCGAGTTCAAATTCTGCCTCGTATACTTGTGGGGTGGCCCTGAACAAGCCTCTTCGCCGCCGCCTGCCTCAGGTTCCCCCGTAAAAGGAGGGGGGCCTCCAGCCCCTTGCAGATCCGGAAGCCCCAGCTGGGTATGCGCCTTCGCGCTGATCTCTGAGACAGTGTGAAGGGAGGCCAGAGCTCCAAACATTGAGGCCGTTAGGTGAAGGTGGGTTCGAATTCCGCCTCGGACCCAAGTAACTTCCCAGCGCCCTCGGTTTCCCCACGGGGGGGGGCAAACGGCCAAGAGCCTCAGGAACCACAGCTTAGGGGATCAAGAGAGCACCCCCACCCCCAGATCCCCGGGGCAAGAAGCCCAGCTCGCTCCGCGCAGGCCCGGGGTCTTCGTGACCCACGATCTCCACCCCGCCCCCTTACGATTAGCCGTGTTCACGTGGCAGAGGCAGCATCTGAAGCCCCCGCGCGGCAGAGCCTCCACATCCGGCTCCGTCGTCGCCATAGTTCCCGCTTCAGAACGGTAGAGGGCACGACTTCCGCCACTACCGGAAATGGGTCACCGGGTTCGCGAAATAAGAAGCCACTTCCGCCACTCTCGGGAACCTAGAGCTCATTCGGCCGCGTCTCTGGACGCAGACTGCACGCGCGGTCTCCAGCCCGATTCCTCCCGGGTCAATCTGCATACGGTAACGCGATTGGCCAGCTCTGAGCGGCGCCTGTCGTCGATTGGCCCTAGGCTAACATGAATATTCATGAGCAACGGGCCGCGGCTCGGGAAGCTGCAGGCTCTGGAACCGGCCGGGACTCCCAGCTCCGCCCCTCCGGTAGCAGAGGCGACCATGGCAGTCACCGTCTAGGCCCCGCCGCCGCCTCGGCCTCCGAGGGACCCGTGGGAGCAGCCCAGCCTCCGTGCGGCAGCTTCCGGCGGGACGCCCCGCCCCCGGACTCTGGTCCCGCCCGGAGCCCGAGGGGAGTGGGGGATGGGTGCTAGAGCGCTCTTATCCATCTCTTCCTCCAACTCGAGCAGTGGCTGTTGAGCGGAACCCCACGCAAAACGATGGACCCACCCACGGACCGTGGACCCCCAGTAGGAGCGACTCCCGTGGGCGTGACCCTAATCCTGCTGGTGGTGCAGCGCGCCCACGCGGGACCCCAAGAACTTGGGATCGCCTCCGGCCCGGGCCCCAGCCGCAACGGACGGACACCGCTGGGCCCCTCCTGATCCTGGGGCTGGCGTGGGTCCCGGTCCCGTCCCGGCAGCACTCCTGCCCCCGGGGAGCCCGCCGGGCGTGGGGCGCTGCGGCCGGCGGCTTCTGGAACCCCAGGAGTAGGAGCGCCCCCGGGTCGGGCTCTGGCCTCGAGGGCCGGCCTGCGGTTGTCACCAGAAGGCACTGGCGGCAGGGAAGAGAGAGTAGGATCTGTGGCCGAGTTGTGGCCTCAGGGCTTCACCTGAAAAATGGGTACAGGTGGTTAAGCCAACCTTCAAAGGCCGGTATAAATGTGAGTGGTCACTGGACTCTTAGCGAAGCTCCTGCCCTCACCCCTTCTGTCCGTTAGCCTCCTCCTAAGCCATTCCTGGCACCAGACCCCACCAGAGGATTGACAAATCCTATAAGCATTTACTAAGCACCTACTAGGTGCAAGGTGCCAAGGACAGAGGCAGTCCCCATCCTCAGGAGCTTGCATGGTGGGGACAGTCAAGAGGCCCTCTGCGTAATCTCCCGTGTGGGGGATGTAAACATTGCCAGTCTCTCCCTCTACCCTTGCCGGGACTCCCGGGCCATGTCCTCACTTTCTGCTGACCCAAGGATGCTGCTTCATCTCTTGCCCCCGAAGCAGTCTGTAGTCCTCCTAGCCTGCAGTGCCCGTCTAACCAGCCCTGGCCCAAGGGCTGGCCCCAGAACTTCCAGAGGACCAGCCTGCTCCTTGGTGGCTGCTTTGGCCAGTTCACTTGTCGTTCCCCCCCCCCCACCAGGGAAGTGACTAGGAAGCCTCTCCTAGGACCGCTGGTGCCTCTTCCTCCGTCAGACCTCCTTCCCCCCAGGCCCCATCCCATGTCAGAGAGCAGCAGAGCCAGGAGGGCTGAAGAAAAACAGCTTTTTATTTCTGTGGATCTAAGAATGGATTACAGATTCCAAGGTTAAAAAACAGACAAAGGGTCTTTATTTCTGAGAATTGGTGTAGAAAAGGCAGGGATGTGGGGGAAGGGAAGGAAGAGTGAGCACCAGGAACTGGGATTGCCCGAGCCCACAGGCCTCTAACTCCAATTAAGTAGGGACATTGGATGGGAGTAAAACCCAAAATTAGAAAAGAAAACAAGTCTTGAGACATGGCAGTGCACGCCCCACCCCCACAGGTACCAACTGGCACCCTACTTTCCCCTCCCACACTCCCCAACAAGGGGAGGAAAAATTAAAAAAACTTTAAAAAACCCTCCCCCAAAAAAAACCTGCCCCAGGACTGAGTCCTCTGTACCCCCCAAAACAGGCCATCCTGTGTGGGGCTTTTCCTCCTTCCCCAGGATCTGGAGAAGGCCAAGGAAGAGGCAGACCTGGTGTCAGAAGCTACAAACACGCGCTCCAACACCCTCCCAGGACCCCGGCACACAGGGCAACGCCCCTGTCCAGAGGCCACCCTCCCCCCAAGAATGCTCAATCCTCCAAGACGATAGGCTCATTGGTACTGGCAGGGTGTGGGGGCAGAGGTGGAGCAATCGGGGCCCTGACCGCTGGCAGTGGAGGCTTCACCTTCAATGGTAAATTGGGCCGCCTTGCAGCCCGACGCATTTCCAGGTGGGTCAAGGCCTTCCGTAATGCCCTGTCGGAGGAAGATAAGGTCCGATGAAATCCCACGGTTGACAGCTAGGCCCTTCCAGGCTGCCCGGTCCCATCATTCCTGCTTAGTCTGTTTCTTCCCTCTGACCCGCCAATCTCTGCGGTCAGCCGCCCACGTGCCCAACGCTGTCCACCCGCCCGCTACCTGGTGTCTTTTGTGGCCACAAATACCACAGGGTTGGGGGCATCAGCCGGGTTCAGCTTCTGCCGCTTGGCAGCTGGCTGTGTGCTTGATCGAATCCCTGAGGTGAGGGGCCTTCCGTTGGCTGAAAACGGAACCACCTGGAGAAGGGGAGGGGAAACTTTCAAAACCTCAGCCACGTGCCAGCTGAAGACACCCTGTCCTAGAAGCCTACCACCTCCTATTCCACTTCTGGACAAGCTGAAGGTAAGGAAGCACTCCCCTACAATGGGGGGTAAATCTGTTCCTCCGCAGCCAGGGGGCACAGTGGGTAAGAATATGGGTCAGGGAAACCAGGGTTCAAATCTCACTTTAGACACTTACTAGCTGTGTGACCCTGGGTGAGTCACTGTCTGCCTCAGCTTCCCTATCTGTAAAATGGAGATGATAATAACAGCCCTGACCTCCCAGGGTAGTCGTGAGGACCAGATGACTTCAGAATGCGATGTAAATGCCAACACGTGCACGTACGTAATGGGCACACGTATGTATTTTCTGCCATTACTGCTACTTCCAATCCCTCAGAAACCAAGCAGAGCGAGGAAGAAAGAGGGGCTCCCCTAAAAGTCACCCCCCGGGCAGTCTGGCCCCGGGTCCCGACTCACGCTCTCATAGGCACGCTTCACCACGATCCCCCCCAGGCTCCGGTTCTGGGTCATTTGGTTCCTGTTGATGGGCGTCTTTGTGCCACGTGGGGTTTTTGGTTTCAGGGGAGCCTGGGCCGCTGCCGAGGAAAGAGAAATCCTTGCTGAAATCCTTAGTCCTGGAAGCACTCCTGGCCCTTCTTTCCCGTGCCCCTCCCCCATACCGAGGTCTTTGACGATGGTGGCCAGGGGCAGTCGCACCAGGGGGTGGATCTTGAGCGGTGTCTTGGCTGCCTTGGGGAGCCGGATGGAGCCTGGGATGGGAAGGAGAGTTACCAAATCGAAGTGACCCCCCCCCCATTCCCTCCAGCAGATCTCTCCCGCCTGTTCTCACACTCGGCCTTGATGGCGTTGGCGTTGATGGGCGCGTACGGCCGCCGGGCAGCCCTCCTGGGCTGCAGCAGGTCCCTGCACATGCGCCGGGCGAGACGGGTCAGCTTCGTCGTCTGCAGCAGGAACGTCTGCCTGTTCTTGGCCAGCAGCTTGGCCCGATTGGCGCTGGTTGTGTATGGAGAAAGGCTCTGGGCTTCAGGTCGAGACAAGTGGCCCCGGGAGTGTGGCTCCTGTGGAAGGAGGAAACGAGGCCGCAGTCAGCGGGGGGGGGGTCCTACTGCCCTCAGAAGCCCCACCTTCCCGATCCACTGGTTTGGGGAAAACGGATCAAAAGCCGCCACCGTTTCCTCCCCGTCATTCAGAGTGAGCGGACAGCTTTCTCAAGCTCTTGCCTTCTAGGCCCGCTGCCCCAGCCCTGAGCCCTGGGTCCTTACAGTGGTACCCCGTGCTGCCCCCTCCAGCTGCGTCGGAGTCTTCAGCCCCCCATACTTCTTCCAGTAGATCCAACAGGAGGCACAAAGGCGGCACTGCATGTTGGGGGGGCCCCAGGCATACCACTGTGCCGACTGGGTGGCTGAAGAAACAGAAACAGGTGAGCTGGTGGGGCAGCAGTCAGAAGGGACAGGCCCAGCTCCCCTGAGCTGGGGCAGGAGCCAAGGCCGCCGCACCCCAGCAGGCCCTGACACTCACTGTGGCAGCTCTCGCAGGTCAGGCCCTTCTGGAATCCGGCCCCGTTCACGCCGGGCTTTGACCCCACAGAGATGATCTGGTTTGGGTTTGGCTTAGTGCTGGGGGGACAGAAAAGGGCAGGAGAGGATGGGCGCACAGGCTGGTTTCAGTGGCCAGAGTAGGGCGGCTTTCCACCCCATCCCAGGCCAGGGAGTCTCCCGCCCACTCGGGATCACAGGGAAAGGAAGGAAGATGCCCTAGGCTCCCCACCGTACCCACCTACTCCCACTTACTAGGTAGGGATGTAGACCTGCTTCAGTTTACTGTCGGCTTCGGCTGCTTTTAATCTTTTCTGTAGGCGACACAAGAAACAGAGAAGGCAGCATGGGGGGCTGTCTCAGGGCCGGGCCTCCCCCCCCCCACAACAGCTCAATGCCTTCCTCCCAGGGCCACCGTTCCCGTCCTCACCTGCTGGATGTAGCGGTCCGTGGTCTTCCACATGTAATAGAACTGGACGATGCTGGCGAGAGACTTCCAGGGGAGCTGGGGAGGTGATGCACAGTGAGCTGGTACCCTAGCCCGAGGACCCCGATCCCCTTGCTGCCGTGGCTGCTGCTTACTAACCTAGCCCTCATCACAGCCTCACTACTCACAAAGTCCTGACGGATATCATTGAAATCCTTGCCGTATTTCTCCAGCGCCTCCTCAAAAAGCATGGCCTCAGAGGCCGACCACTCCTCCATCTCATCCCGGCACAACACAGGGCCACCCTGGGGCACCAGTGTAGACATGGCCTTGGCCAAGTCATAACCATTCCGCTGCAGAGTGTCCATGGCATGGAACTGCAATGGGGGCGACATCCAGTGAGGACATTCTGAAACGGCCCAGGGACGCCGGCACTGGCCATCCCTCTGCCCCTCCGAGACCCCTGCCTTCCCCAGCCCAGACGGCGGCGGCTCACCAGGGTGATGTCTCGGGAGGCAGCTGCCGCACTCATGTGCAGACTGGGCTGCCGAATAGAACTGCTGCAGTCCAGGGCCCTGGCGAAGGTGCCCACCGCTCTAGGGGAGGAACAGCGGGTCACTGGGGCAGAAGGAAGGTTGGAGGGAATGGGGAGGGGGAGGGGGAGAACACCACAGGGAAGATCAGGACAGCCTCAAGGACGCCAGCTGGGACTGAGGCCTAGAGCCTCCAGTCCACAGCTCCCCCAGCCTAGGGCCACAGTCGCCCACCCAGCCCTCACCGGGCCACAACGAGGAACTGGTCAATCTGCCGGTCAGTCAAGGGGTTGTCTGGATCCCACACCTTCATTTCCATCTTCTGCTGATTTCGATTATCAGACTCACCTGGGAAAAAAAGAGTTCTATCATCATGAAAGAAAAAGGTGGAGGGTGGACCTCTAGACTCCCTGTCCTTGGACAGTGCTGCCCCCCCCTTTTCCCCTCCCCTTTAACGTCTCCCTCCTCCCTCAACTCTCGACCATAAGGCCTTACCTTCGGCCAGCCGCTCTGGAATCTCTGCTTGGTATTTGCAGCCAACCCGAATCTCCCCCTGGTCAGCCAGAAGTGTTTTTTGCACGGGGTCAAACACCAAGGAGTAGAAGAAGCAGTCCTGAAACAGGGTGGTGGAGGCAGCTGAAATGAGCCTTCCCCTTTCCCCCAGGGCCTCTCCCCAGCTGGTCCCCAGCAAGTAAGACTGGAGGGCCCAGAGACACCCCACCCCACACAGTTCCTTCTCTCTCATCCCAAAGCAGGCTCTCCTGGAGCCCTCAAGCTTCATCCTTCACTCCACACTCACTCCACATGTGCAATCACCAAATCTGGTCATTTCCACGGCTCAGCATCTCTCCCACCCACACCCTCCTGTCTATCCTCACAGCCACCAGGCTGCCTCAGGCCCTCAGCACCTCTTCCCATCCTCCACAGAGCCATCCATGTCACAGAAACTTGCCAGTTTGGCCTGTGATATACCCTAGACAACCTGACCTCAACCTGCCTTTCCAGCCCTGTATCATTCCCTATCATCCATCCTCTGGTTCGGCCAGATTGGCTTCCCTTGCTGTTGTTCCTCCATCTCAGGACCTCTGCACCTAGGCTGCTCACTCCCCCTCCCCCTCCCCTACTCTACCACCCCTTAGAATCCCAGATTTTCTGGAGACTCAGGTGAAGTAACACTTTCTAAATGAAGCACTTCTGGAGGCTCCAATCACCATGAACGTAAGTTGGTTTTAGAGCCATTCTGCACGCACCTCTCTCCCCATTAAAATGAAAGCTCTCAGCCCTGTGCTGGTTCTCCCCGCCATGGTGGTACCACCCAGACCCTTTCTGCCAACACAGCCCTCTTAGTCACCTCCTTCTCCAGGTACTGGCTCAGGATGTCTGTCTCATTCAGTAGCGTCACACTGCATTTCCCACTGCAAGAGGGGGAAGGAAAAGTCACCAAGTCCACAACCCCAATCTTCATCCTTCATCATGCTCCCTGATCCTCACACCCCTTTGTCTCTGGGAGCCAGGGGGTGGGGGGTGGGGGTCTTCTCCACTTGCCAGCTAAAGTGGAGTAGATGGTGGGTGAGAAGCCCCTCGTAGGTAGAGCTAAAAAATGCCTGTGGCCTGTCCCCTACCGGATGTGGGTAGCTGGCAACGATTCAAACTGTCTAGAAAGGAAGAGCTCCCGGTGCTTCAGCTGGTGCCTCTGCTGTTCTGAGACTCCCGGCTGCTTGGACTCTTCCTCAAATTCCCCTGGGAGATGAAAAGAGAGGAGAGGGTAGCTGGGGAGGGGAGGGCAGGAGAGAGGAAGGAAAGGCAGGGGAGGGGCTGTGCTGGTTCGAGGTTCGCATCTCGTGTCTCATTCTTATGCTGCCGCCCTCTTTCTTGCCTTTCCCACACTTTCCCCAATGCTGCTTCACCCCTAATGCTCTGGGTTTAAAGCTGATACTGAAGAGCTTCCATAACCCTTCTCTCCCCACCCCCCCAAACCTCAGAACTTCATCCCAGGCCCCAAGGGTTGATGCTAGGATCTCACTTGCCCTACGAAGTTGAACCCCAGTGAAGTTCTACCAGGCTGTGCCTCCCCAAACATGTCATGAGACTTCACAGGCCTCCCCACCGTCAAGCATGGCCTGCAAAACCATAAACGTCACTCGCTCTTTGTCAGGCTTGTGACGTTTACTTTTCAGAGGCAGAACTTCCACCCCAAAGAAAACACTATCCCCCCACCAAGGCCTCAAGCTGGCCAAGAAGCCCAGTTGTGAAGGTTTAACAGGGATGGGCGCCAAGCAAAGAAGAAAGGTGTAGGATAGCAACAAGCCCAGACCCATAGGCCATTGTTCAAAATACCAGGAAGATGAGGTGGGGGAGGAGTCTGCAGCTGACTCCTCCCCTTGCCTGCTACTCTGGGACCACACCCCCCAAATCCCTTCTGATTGGACAAAGCCAAGGTCAGCCCCTGCCAGATGGAGCAGTAAACCCCAGGGGGCTACGAAGCTTGGAGAATCTGGTTCCCCATTAACCCTTTAGTGCTGGAACCTTGGTCTAAGAAGTTGAAAATCGAAACATCAATGGAAGGGAGCAAAGAAATCAAAAAGGAAAAGAGGAAGAATGATAGAGATGAATAATTACTAGGAAAAGAAAGGAGGAAAAAAGGGAAGTGAGGGATGGAGAAAAAAAGGGAAAGAGGGAGGGAGGAAGAGAAGAAAACAAAGAGAAGGAAGATGAAAAGGGAAAGCGAAAGAAAGGCAATTCGGGCAGTTCTTCCTCTTCCCAGGCCTCCCTCCTGTCCAGACCAGCCATACCCTTATCTTGGGCACAACCCAATCCTTTAGTATTCAAAACAAACTACCTCCCCTACTTCCTAAGGCAGGATCCACTGTATGTTTTGGTCCTTCCCTTCCCTTTAACACAATCCTTCTCATTCTCTGCACCTAACTCTAGTTCAAAAACTTACCCACAAGTCCCATTTCTCTATGATTACATCTGCTGTTTCTACCCTCCTGACCAAACCTCCCATACCTCCCATCTCCTACTGTCCCCCCCACCTGAAAACTCACGTTTTGCTCTCCTCATCACATGGCTCCTCCATTCTACTCTTCTGCCATGTGAAAACAAACCCTAACCCCTCCATGCAGACCTGCTCCCCCATCTCACAATTCATCCCCCCAGCCTGGATCATGAGACCAGAAGAAACACCTGCAGAGATCTGCCCAGACCTGAGGACACAAGAGGAGGGGGAGAAGACTCACTGGCATTGCTGTCAGCCAGGCTATTGAGGCTGCTAGAGATGTCCCGTCTTCTGAAAAGGCACACAACCTTTGCCTCCACGTTCCCATTTGCAGTCTAGGAAGAAAGGGCAAAGTGGTGGAAACTGGATGTTAGAGAAAGATATGTCTTAAGGAAAAGGAGCTAGTAACAGGGAATATATTCAAAATGGAATATGAGCACTTACTGGTTTAAAAAAAAAAAAGACCTCAAGGAATTATGTGCCCAAGAGAGTCCCGCTCAGTCTTGGGGCCTCCCACCTAAAGAGCTCAGAACTAGGCCAGGGCCAAAATAAATTCAGCCAGGACACCTCAGGATGCAGGAGACAGTAAGGAGACCACCTGAGAAGCACACAACTCGAAGGGGCCCAAGGCCCTCCATTCTAACCAGCCAGAAGAAGGGTAATACCCATATTGCCTAAAAGTGATCAACCAGCCTTCATTTGTAAGCTCTAGTAAGGAGAAACCAGTTACTTCCTGAGGCTGTACCTTTTACTCTCTGAGAGCTCTGTTAACTAGAGCTTCTTGTTAGGAAGTCTGTTCTCCCACTGAGCTGAAACCTACCTTTCCCCAACTTCTGCCCCCTGCCCCATGGAGGCCATGTTGAGGAAGTGAAGCTGACAACCACCCACACAAAGAACAGAAGCCCCACAAAAGCATGTGTGCCTTATCAACCTTCATCGCACATCCTCACAGACGGTTTCATTGCAATGATTACCACCTCCCCCCTTCCTCACCCCCCAACACACACACTCTCTCTCTCTCTCTCTCTCTCTCTCTCTCTCTCTCTCTCTCACCTTATTGAGCTCCTCAATCCTCCTCACCAGGTAAGGATTGCTGGAGGAGTTCTCAAAATAGACGTAATCTGCAATGGGGAAAAGCCAGGAGGTCAGGAGGCGGAAGAGCCAAAGCCCTGAGTGAGAAGGGATGCAACAGGAAAAAAGGGAAAGGGTGGGGGTAGAGAGCCTTGGAAAGGATGGGGAGAAGGCGAGCTGAGGAAGGAAAAACCTGGGACTGGCGTCTAGGCCAGAGTAAATGCAGTCAAGGCTCTCTCACCATCCCTCCCTGAGCTTCAACCAATCAGTCAGCATTTACTACTTCCCAGTACTGGAGATACAAAAGAAAAACCCAAATAATCCCTGCTCTTAGCCCTCCTCCTCCCAAAGGCCTGAAGCATCTTTACAAAGACAAAAAGGACAATTAATCTGAAGAAGTCAGACTACCTTAATTCTGGGGATGCTGATCAGGCCAAGGGCAGCCCAGGAGCCGGAAAAGCACTGAGTGACCCCAGCCCGGCCCTCCTGATCCTTACAAGCTCCTCTGGGAGGACCTGCCCCCTGGACTCATCCCCGGCCCCCCTGCGCCTCTCACTGCTACCCCTCCACACCGGGCTTCCTGGAGGCTGAACCTCAGCTAACTCCGGAGGGCAGGGCTGTCGGCTCGGATCTGGGGCTCTGTCCAGGGCGCTGACGGGGAGGGTGGTAGACACAACAGTACGGGGCTAAAGCCGGGAAAACCCAGGTCCCAAACCGTGCGCCTAAGACAGGCAGGATGCGCCCCAGAGCCCCGGCACAGGAGGGAAAGTTAGGGGCTGCTCCAGGGCAGGAGCAAAGGACGTCCCTGCCTGGAGAAACTCTCAGCCCAGCCCCAGCTGGACAGAGGGCCAAAGGGCCGCCCTATCGCTGGAGGCACAGCGGGGCACGAGTCCTGCCCCAGGGCAGAACTATCACGACAAGGGATCCAGGCAAGAGCTCCGCCTGGGGGCGCTAGCACGCAGGGCATCCCGGAGCAAACTGGGCCCCGAGGGGGTAGGGGTTTCCTATCGCGACAGAAGCGGGGAAGGAGCCTGCTGAGATGTGGCCGAGCGTGCGGGCAGCGAGAGTCACTCCTTCGCCCCGAACAGCCCGGAGCCCTGAGCGCCCGGGCCCCACTCAGGGCCCCCCCCCACCCCCGCTGCGGCCTGAGTGGTCAAGTTCATCTATTCAAGTCTCGTTGTGCCCCCCGCCCGGGACCCCGAGACCCCCCACGGGGTGGGGGAGGGTTGCCGCGCATGCGCCCTCCACTACCGGGACCCCCGACAAGGCTCCCCGTGCGCGCATGCGCCCTCCCGTGCCGCGCCCCCCCCAGCCCGTCCGCGCCCCCCCAATCTTGCCGCGCCCCCCCCCCCGCCCCGGCCCGGTCCCGGGGAGCTTGTTCCGGTTCCGGTGGGGCCGCGGGCGTGCGGTACTCACCTCCCACCCGGTACATGTTGGCCGCCATGGCCGCCCGACGGGGCCCGCGGGCGCCCGGCTCAGCCGCAGGGAGGCCCCGGCGCTGCTCGGCCCTGCTCGGCGCCCCGGCCCCGGCCCCGCCGCCGCCTCAGCCCCGGCTCATCCCGCGCCGCCGCCGCCGCCGCCGCCGCTGCTGCCTCCCGCCCAGAACGCGCCGAGGCCGGCGGCGGGCCCGCTCGGCTGCTTCCGGTCCCCCGGCCCCGCGTCCCGGGTCCCGCGGTTCGGTTCGTCCCGACGAAGCCCTGCCTCAACACCGAGCCCTTCCGGAACCCTTCCGGCTGCGCCCGAAGGACGGGCGCCCGCGCTTCGGCCACTTCCGGAGGAGCTTCGGCTCTTTCCGCCTCTTCGCCGGGAGGGGCGGGGGCGGGGCCGGGGCTTAACCCTTCCCTCGCCTCAGCTTCCCCCGGCACGTGGCTGCGAGAGGGAGCGTCGGACCAGCATTGTGCATGCCCTTTGCTTTTCATTTGCATGGGCCCCTTCTTTTCTCTTCCTTGGTTGGCCTAGCTCCTGCCCGTGGACTCCTCATTGCCCCCCCCCCTCCACCCTGGTCTGAGGCAGCCCAGAGGATGTCCTCTAACTTCCAATCCAGTGCTCTCTCCAACCCCGCTCCGTGCCACCCCCCAGCCTTTCACCGGCAGAAGGACACTCGGGAAGCCGCAAAGGGACTTTGCATCTGTTTTATTGCCCCTGCACTGTTGCGGGGTCTGGGAGGAGGGCGGGGGCTGCTCGGCTCAGCCTGCGGTTCTGTACAGTGTTGGGGAGTCCCAACGCCCCTCCCCGACCGGGAGAAGGCACGGAATGTAACGAAGTTGAAAGAAGAGGCTCCTGGTCCTTGGGAGGGGGATGGGGGCGACGGGAGGTACGGGGGGAAAGCACCCTCTAAGTGGGCCCACCCACTCCATCTAGTCCTAGTGGGGTCAGGCATCCAGCGAGGAGGCGGGGGAGAGGGAAGGGGTGCGGGAGGGCGTGGGGGGGGCTGGTCCGGGGCCCCCACCACCCAGCATGCGCCACTGGAAAATGCTCGCATCCTTTCCTCCCAGTGAGATGAGGTGAGAATCATCATGAGTGAACCGGACACTGGTGACGTGGCTGCCGTGGCCTCCGTACTTTCGGCTGGGAGCCTGGGGGGTGGGGGAGCAGGGAGGACGTCTCAGAATGGGAATAAATAGGTGGAATCTAGCCCAGTTACGTAGGATTTAGAGCTCTACAGAAGTTTAGATACCACCATTTAACAAATGAGGCAACTGAGTCTCAGAGGAAGCAACTTGCCCAAGATCACACGGCCAGTAGTTAAATCCTAGTCTCCTTACTCCAAGTCCAAATGCTCTTTCCACTTAGGGACAGCTGGAATGCCGTCTCCCTTGGCCCCACCTACTCTTCCGCAGCTCTGGACGGACTCCCGTCTCACACCCCTCTTCCCCTCCCCCACCCACTCTTCTGCAGCTCTGGACTGACTCCCGCTTTGCACCCTTCTTCCCCTCTCCCACCCATCTTCAGCAGCTCTAGACGGATTCCCGTCTCACACCCTCTTCCCCTTCCCCACCCACTCTTGTGCAGCTCTGGACGGACTCCCGTCTCACACCCCTCTTCCCCTCTCGCCCCTCCCCTGGCCTCTGGACCGGTAGCGTGGAGGAGACACCTCACCTTGGCACGGGCGCACGGGTACAGAAACAGGTGCACTTTGCAGAAGTCATCGGCTACGGCGACCACTCGCTCATTGTGGGAGCGGCACAAGGAGTTGATGTCTGTCCCGTCTGATCCATCCGGCCACACGCCTACCAAGTCAAGCCCTCCTCACTCCCGTTTCCTCCTCATTCCAAGCTCCCACATTCCCAGCCACCCACAGGCCCAGCATTTCTATTGTTCCCGGACATTCCCGGACCCACGACGCTGCATTCTCAGGCAACCAATGCTTCTGGCCTTCCCCTCCACCCAAGGGCGTTCGTTCTCAGTGTTGCAACATTACCCTCCACACAATATTCCCAACTATCTCCACCAGGCTTGGTTCTCACCATACACGTGGAAACCCAAGACACAGGTATAGGTCGCCCACTCCCGATCCCGGCTCTCATACCGATTTCTCAGTAACTTGCAACCCCCTGCCACGTCCCCTGGGTGGAAGGGAAGGTGAAAAGCCCCACTTAGGTCAATCACTTTCCATCAACTCAGCAGATTGAAGAAAATGAGGAGAGCCTAGAGAGGGCTTGGGCTCCACGATTTCCTGGCAAATCCACATTCCTGAAGTCACCCCTCTCCCCCAGTGCTCCTGGATAATTTTTCTATACAGGTCTTTACTTGGCACATTTTCTACGGATTAGATTCATGAGATCATAGGATTTAAAGCTGGGAGGAGCTTTAGAAAATAGAAATATCAAATGTCACAGCAGGAAAGGACTTTAGAGCACAGAACATAAGAATGTTAGAGCCTGGAGGGAGTTTAGAACCTAGAATGTCAGTGCTGGGACAGATCCGAATCTCATTTTACAGATGAGCAAATGAAAAGCTGAAGAAAGGAAGTAACTTGAGTGTAAGCAACAGTGCTGGGATTCAAATACAGGAAAATGCACCCAAATCCCCCAGTGCCCCCTCACCCTAGCTCTACGCCATCGTGGAGGAGAAAACGTGATCCCTGTGACCCACCCCTGTGAACCCCTCCTCACAGTAGAGGATCTCGTAGTCCCCAGAATTAGACATGATGAAACTGCCATCTTTGGACCAGTCTAGATGAGTGATGAAGCTGGAGTGCCCCTGGGGAAGGGGGGGGTGTCAAAATTGGAGCCTTGGGTTCCCACCCCAGCCCCAGGCCATTCCCTAGGAGAGTCAGTGAAGAGCTTGCCAGCTCCTACCGCCACTAGCACCACCCCCACCTCACTCTGCTCTTTAGGCACACTCACCACGCATCGGCCAAAACGGCTACACTTGGCCCCATCGCAGGACACACTGTAGATATAGATCGTGTTGTCGTGGGAACCGATGGCCAGATACATCCCGTCTGAAGAAGTCAATCAGCAAGCGTGTCTTAAGGGCTTACTATGGGCCAAGCAGTGTGCTAAAAGCCGGGGGTATGAGGAAAGGCAGGACCAAACAGTCCCTGCTCCCCAGCTTACCTCTGAATACAGGAGACAAGGGGCTAACAATTATGGGCATAATAAATAAGGGTAGAATGACTGGAAGGTAATGGCAGAGGAAAGGAACCAGGATGGGGGGAAAAAGGCAGGTCAGAGAGAGGCCGCCTCTAGATGGGGGCAGGGGGTCGGAGAGGCTCTCACCTGGACTATACCTGACAACTGAGAGCTGCTCATTACCATCAGTGAAATCTGACACAATGTCTCGGGTCTCTGTGTCGAGAACCAGCCACCTGGGATCAGAGGAGGGCATGGGGCCAGCTGCTAGGGCCACGTCTTCCCCCCCCCCCCCCCCGCAACTTCTCCTTACCTCCCTCTTCCCCCTTCCAGCCCTGGAGCCTTGGTTCCACCCACTCTCACCTCCCAGTATTGAGTCCCACAGCCACGACCTTCCCACTGGGGTGGAAATCAGCACAGAGACCCGTCTCCTGGAGGGGGAGGGTGGTCAGAGATGGGAGGCTGGGGTTGGGATTCAAGGAGATACTTTTCTCATGGGGGGAACCCTCCAGATCACCCCACCTCTTGACAAACTCAAAGTCCACCCCCTCCTCAGTGTTTCTCAAAAGGGGAAGAATGGCCAGCCCTGGGAGAGATCGCTGGATTCCCCAAAGATTACAGGGGAGGAGAGGGAAAGGGGTCCCAGGGGAAAAAATGGTAGGGTATAGGTTCATGGCAACAGTACCTTGAGATCAAGGCTCCAGGCCAGGGCGTGACACTCTCCGTCCCACAGACAGAGCTGTCGGTCATGGCCACAGGTGAGGAAGCGGTTCAGGGAGGGGTGAGTGCAGAGACCCCAGAGCTCATCAGTGTGACCCTACAGGACACCCAGGCTAAATGATGTTATCAGATCTCCTTTGCCACCAGCCCCACACCCCTGTGGCCCCACACAAACCCGAACCTGGATAACAGGGGAAAAGCCCTGAGTCAGGTCTCCCCTCAGCAGTGCATTCTTTGTGGTGCCCACCAGCAGCTCTGAGCCCAGCCCCTCGGCAATGGCCCGGACAGCTCCAAACTGTTCTGGGATCTGGAGGTAGGGGATGTCCATGTCTCAGGAGGAAAGGAGTCCCCACAACTTTCCTCCTGCTCCCCAGCCCCATCTACCCCAGTTCTTCTTCTCTTCCCTCCACTTCCAGTCCCAGCCTTACCTCAGCCTCCTGGAGGGCAGTGAGTCCAGGGCCCCACTGAACCAGCCGGCGATCCCGCCCACCCCCACTCAGCACAGTCCCGTCCCTCAGCAGACACAAAGCGAAGATGGAGCCCTCATGGGCTCGGGTTTGAGCCACAATGCCAAACGTCTCTGTACGGAAGAGGGAGGGCCAGGGTTGGTGGGATCAAGGTCACTTGGAAGGACGTGATAGATACAATGCAGGGGGGAGAGGATGGACTGAGGGCCAAGCCCAGATATAATGAATCCTTTAAAACCTAAAACGGCAGAGCTGGGAAGGACCTTAGAATATGGTATGTCAGTGCTGGAAATGGCCTTAGAACATTGACTGGTGGGGCCCTAGAACCCAGAATGTCAGAGCTGCAAGGGGCCTTAGCAACCACCTAAGTCCAGGGGGTCTTCACCTTTTTTGCAGCATGGTCCCCTCTGGCAATCTAGTGAAACCTAACACGACTGGTTTGTTGCCTGCATTAATAATTGAAGGAAATGCTAAATTTCTGTTAGAGGTTAGTGGAAATTTTAAAATGTCATTTTTTTCCCCTCCAAGTTTAAGGACCTTCTAAAATCTATCCATTAAGCAGAGTAAGAATCCCTGATCCAGTCCAACCCCCTCCTTCCACAGATGAGGAAACTGAGGTCTGGACGGGAAAGTCACTTTCCCAAGGCAGGTTCCTAGGGCTACCTCCAGGGCTGGACTTCCTTCTACTAAGGCTCTTCTTCCTCTCAATTCTCTACCCTGCCCCCTGGGAACTGCC